AAAATAAAACTGATTTTTTAAAAACAAAAAAAATTAGCACTGAAAGAACTTGGCATTCTAGCACCATTTAAAAATGTTCACAAAAATAATGAAGTCAACAGAAAATTTAAATATTTTTTTTTTAATTTAAATTCAAGTTAGTTAACATATAGTGTATTATTAGGTTCAGGGTATAGTTTAGTGATTCATCAGTCATATATAACACCCAGTGCTCATTCCATCACCTGCCCTCCTTAATGCCCATCACCCAGTTATATACCATCTCAGCAACCACCTCCCCTTCAGCAACCTTCATTTTGTTCCCTATAGTCAAGAGTCTCTTATGGTTTGTCTCTCTCTCTGTCCTTATTTTATTTTTCCTTCCCTTCCCCTATGTTCATCTGTTTTGTTTCTCAAAGAAAATTTAAATATTTTCAAATAAACTTTTGTATCTTAGGAGTAAGTTCTTAAATTATATGTAATTTACATATAAGCTTCTGTCTGAAAATAACTCACTCTTTTGACTGCTCAAGTTTTTTTGCCGCTTCTTTCTTTAGTTTCTCTTTTTCCAAGTATTCTTCTAGTTCTTTCCCTTCAAGCTTCACACGTTTCCTCAACTAGAGAAAAACAGCAGACAGAAGGAAGCATCAGTATCAGGGGTTAGGCGGTAGGGTGTGAGATGTAGCACATCTGTGAATTTATCATCTTAAATTTGAAATTATTCAAGTTCCCATTACATGCAATTACAGGTCCTATTTAGATCAGCACCAAAATTGAGCTGCCACATTTCTAGGCTGGGTTTAATTTAAACTGGTTAAAAATCACCAATCAGGAAAAGAAAATACAGGTAAGTATTTTTATAATTTGGAGTAGGTGAGGCCTACACAGGACATAAAACCCAAAAACCACAAAGGAAAAGATGAATAAATACGGCAACATGAAAAAAAATACATTTCTTTGACATTTAAAAATCTCATAAAATTACAGGGAACGGAGAAAATTATTTACAGCACTACATGACTATCAGCAGCTCTTTTTTCCTAAGAGCTCTTCCAAATCAGTTAAGAAAAAGATGATCAACACATCAAAAAAGGACAAATCCATATATAAGCAATTTACAAAATAAGAAAAATAAGTAACTAATAGCTATGAAAAGAGGTCTCATTTCGCTGGTTTTTGAAAAATGCAAAATTTTTGAAATGTAATACCATATAAGATTTTATTTATTATTATTTATTTATTTGGGGGGGTGGCTATGAGAAAGGGAGAAGCAGACTCCCCACTGAGCAGGGAACCCAACGTGGGGCTCAATCCCAGAACCCTGGGATCATGACCTGACCTGAAAGCAGATGTGTAACCAACTGAGCCACCCAGGTGCCCCTGTAATACCATTTTAAAATCTATTAGATTGGCAATGCTAATTACTATATATCTATGGGAAAATTAGCGTAACTACGGTAGAAGGCAATTTGCCATAAAAATGTGCCCGTCATTTGACATAGCATTTCTACTTCTAGGAATTTATGCTACGGAAACAATCACAAGTGTTAGGAAAAAAGTACAATTGCAGCAATGTGTGTAACAGTAAAAAACCAGACTCAACTTTAAAATCCATCAACATGGGATGATTAAATCAGTAGATCTCTCCAACTTTTTGATCTCAGGATTGTCTTAGACTCTTAAAAATTACTGAGAACCCCAAATAGTTTTTGGTTTTTTTGTGGATTACATTTATTAATGTCTGCCATATCAGAAATCAAAAATGAGGAAGTTTTAAAATATTCATCTGTAAACTAAAAAATAAAATCATTGCATATTAACATTACATTTTTATAAAAGGTAATTAAATTTTCTAAAGCAAAAACAAAGAATAGTGGAAAGCACGGCATTATTTTACATTTTTGCAAGTCTCTTTAATGTCTAGCTCAATAGAAGACAGCTGGATCCTCACATCTGTTGAATTCAACCTCCTGCAATATGTTGTTTTGGTTAAAGCATATGAAGAAAATGCAGCCTCACACAGATGTATAATTGGAAAAGGGAAAAATATTTAAGTAGCATTTCCATGAATATTCCTTGGTATTACATTAAAACTCAAAAACTGGTGGTTTCTTTCATGGGCGCCTGGGTGGCTCAGTTGGTTAAGCGACTGCCTTCAGCTCAGGTCATGATCCCGGAGTCCCTGGATTGAGTCCCGCATCGGGCTCCCTGCTCAGCAGGGAGCCTGCTTCTGCCTCTGACCCTCCCCCCTCTCATGTGCTCGCTCTCATTCTCT